GGGGGCGCTGGACAGGACACGAGATGAAAGGTTATCTGTGGCGGGGGGGGGGGGGCGGGCCGGCGAGGAGGTAGCGGCAGGCTCACGGGGCCCGGCCCGGCCCGGGTCAGCGAAGGACAAACAATTATTATCATGGGCGGGACGGGGCCGGGTTGAGGTGGAGAGGCTCTGCGGAGTCCGAAGAGCAGCAGCCCCGCGCCCCCTCTCCCCCGGGAGAGAGTCCCCTCAGGCGCCCCTCCCCCTGCTCCAGGAGGGGCACCGCCTCGCCGAGTGCCCGGCCCGGTCCGGCCGGGGGCGCGTCGACCGATCGGTCAGAGTTAGCGACTATTTGGTGTCCCCCGAGAGGCCCCGCCGCCGCTACGCGCTGGCCGCCCTGCGCGCCGCCGGTGTGGGCGCCGTCGCCGCGGTATGGCAGGTCGACAGGACAGCTCGCTTCAGAGCGGCAGCACCACGTCGGGCCGCTCCGCTCCGCCGCCAACACCGTCATGATCAGGATAAGTACTAATGGACGGGCTCACCCCTCCCCCCCTCCCCCCCCACTGCCCCTCCTCGAACCTCGGGCCTCGACAGCCATTCATCTCAAGTCCCAGGAGAGACACGCCCAGCGCCGCGCCGCCGCGGGATCTGGACCCAGCGGGACCTCGGCCTCCCCCTCCCCCCTCTTTCCTGAGGAGAAAGGAAAAGTAGCGCCATTTCGAAATTAAATGGAATATGGATTCGCGGGGTAATTGCGGTCGCCAGGCAGGCGGTCCACCGGGCGGAGGAGATGAAGAAGTGGGGGAGCGGAGCGAGAGTGAGAGAGATAGAGAGGGGGAGGGAGTGAGAGACAGAGGGAGAGCGAGAGACAGAGTGAGAGCGAGAGACAGAGGGAGAGCGAGAGGCAGAGAAAGGGGAGACAGTCGGACACGGACACACTGACAGACAGCGATTGCGCGCGGGACGGGTTGGGCTGGTGCTGGTGCGGGCTGGTGCGACCCGTGCGGCTGGGTCTGCTGCGCTCGCGCAAAGTGAGAGACAACGGGGCGGGACTTCTACTTCTCTACTGCTGGCGAGATAAGGGAAGATGAATGGTCCACACCGTAAGGAAATGAGAGGGAGCGGCGTGAGTGAAGAGAAAGAAGAGTGTAGTCGTGAGAGACACGCCGGGCCGGCGTTATCTGTGCGCCCCCAGTTCCAGCCCGAGAACCATCCCGCCCTGCCCCGCCACGCCCCGCCCCGCCCCACCCCGCTCCCGCTCCCTTAGGCCCATTTCCGCCTGGAGGGAGGCGGGGAGGGTCAGCCCGCCGGCGGGCCGTGCCAAACAGGCCAGTGTCGCACTCGGCCCGCTCGCTCACGCGTGCCGCGCCGCGGCGCTCGCCCAAAACAACTTTATCGCGCGGCGCGCGGATGTTCGCGCGGGATATGAGCTGCCGGCGTGCTGGCGCTCACGTCGAGCATTCCGCCCCTCCTGATCGGCACGGCGATCGTGACGTCGTTCGAGGAGCCCCGCCGCCGCACG